CCCTGCTACTCACTCAACGGACATGGCATCGGGGATGATGGAAGGAAATATCTCTTGTTTTTAATCCCCGTTCCTAAAAGTAGTTAGCAGTAGTCAGCGGGACTGTGTACGTGCTGCTCTGTATCGTGAAATCACGACAGCGTGAAACAAACAAACAAAAAAAGTTCAGATCATTCACTGCCAACTGCTGAAAGACGGTCTGACTACTTTTTTATTCAGGGTCAAACCTCTCTCGATCTCTCTTCATCACCAAGCGCAGTGGTTTTTATCACGCAAATGATGGTAAAACAGCATCTTCAATGCAATCGATTTCAGTCACAATCATGCAACATGTTAATTTTTACTAATTAGGTTTTTTAAAGGTAATTTCATTCTAATAGACTTAACCTCTATGGAGTTTTTTTTTCCTTTGTTTGGATGACAATTAAGATTGATAACAAAGTTGTCTTTTTTATTTGTTGTTCCTTTGTGTCCTTGACATTGTCCAGCACAGTGCCTATACTGTATCATGGTGGAGAGAGAAATCTGAGCACTCCATTAAAACAACAACAATGTATGTAGGCTGCCCAGGAATGTACAAGACAGACACCAACATCAAAGCACAAAAAAGTTCTTTTTGTGAAGGTGATGAAAGAAACTTGACTGTTTTTCTAAAAAAAAAAAAATGTGTCCTTTATTTTCAAAAACAGAGAAAAAAAATCTTGTGGTTGCTTGATGTCTGTACAGGATGTGCAGTCTGCTATACTGGCTTGTTTCTACTCGCCCTGCTCTCTTTAAATGAACTGAAGGCGACTCAGAGCGGACGCACGGTGACCATCGCAGACTGGCAGTTGTGACTTCACGTGAAAGCTGGGGATTGCTGGAGGATTTGGACTCGTTTTTCTGAAAGTGCATTGGAAAAATATACTGCATGCTTTCCACTGGGCAACACACCCGGACTATCAGCACTTCTGTGTGTGTGCCGAAGCATGCCAACAGATCAGCTCGTAAAAGGACTGGAGGCGACTGAATTGTGCTCCATTGTTGTGGGATTACTGGCACATACAGTTTGTATATGTGGCATCTAAATTCTGTTGTTTAAAAAAAAAAAAAAAGGAAAATCTGTATCTAAAATGTGATTTTTGGCAATGCGATGGAAATGTTCCTGCAGGTGTAGCTCTCATACACAGTGAAGACACAGATCTTCTGCTTGTGTGAGATCTTTTCCAGTAACGTGTTTTTATATGTGCCTGTGTGAGGGCGCAATGGGAGCGTTTTACGACCTGAGCCAGAACCAATGTGGATATTATGTACAGTAGCAACTTTGTGGTGTCAAGTCAGAAAAAACATTGTTACCAGTGGAGTGAACAAACAGTATCTGTGCCAAATGGAGCTGAATATATATCTTTGATCCACCAGCATAATATGGAAGAGGCAACTGTTTTGTAAAGCTTTGATTTCAGTTCTCTACCCATCGTCAGCAGCTCGAAACAAAAAGCTCACATGTGTAAAATGTGCGCTCCCTCGTTCAGTCTTCATCAGACTGCAAGTTTTTTCTTTTTACTCATGTTGCCAAATTCTAACCCCATTGTCTGTCCACATTAATAAGCTGCCACACTGAAGTTAACTGTACTGTTACTAACTCAAATTTTCTAGACGTGAGGTTGAGATGCTTAACACAAATGTTTTCAGAGCTAGTCGACAAGCCAGACTACGCATGAATACGGGACCACAGCAATTAGAGTTGTGCTTGTAATGCTTTATAGTCCATAAAAAACCCAACTCGTATCCAGGGTTTAAATTGATGACAGATTGTCATTACGGGTTCTCTGTGTCATATCAAATCTTGGAACGCACCAAAACCCCTCAGTAATTGCAAGCACTTTATCGACTTCATAGCCTGTTGTGTCAAAGATGTAGAAGTAGGGATTTGGGTGTATCAGACAATTTAAAAACAAACCTCTGCACTGGAACACAGGTATAATTCAGACGTAATGAAGCTACATCGTTGCATCACAGCGTTTGTTTGAAACTTGAAATGGAGAACAAAGGCTGACATGCAACGAGAGACATGAGTAAGATAATGAAAGAGAGACATGCAGGACAGAACTACGGTGGTGATTTTTCTCTTCTCGTGCTCAATATTATTATTTGTTTACATTTTTAAGTATTAAACAGCTGTTTGAGTCTGTTAAGCATTGTGTATAGTTACTCTTTACATTAATAAATAAAAAAATTCATACATTTTGAACAAAAAAAAAACCTGATTGTTTTGCATTTTGTTTGTGAAATGTGAAATGGGAGTTTGTAGCCAGTGACTGAACAAAAGATACTGTATGTTTGGGCGTGAATGTGTTAATGTTAGCTGATGACTATAAGTTTCTAGAGTGTGCATGTGTTTGTGTGTCTAGTTTCACCTGCTGGGTTCCCACACACACACACCCCCACACTGACACAATTACATTGCCAGAGTTTTCTGTCACTTTTAGTTATTCACACACCGACATCATGATTGGAAGAGTTGTTTTTCTGGGACTCCTGCTCATCTGTGTGGCTGCAGGTAACAAAGAAAACACACTTTTTTGAGATATTTTTGCATTCTTGTTCGAGGGTTTTTATAGATTTATGTCAAAAGAACAATTTCTAGAGATTTCTATTTAGATGCTATAGAATGAAACACGCAAAGTATTCACCCCCATTGGAAGCTTTCATTTTTTATCATCTTACAAAATTGTGTCAAAGGGGGTTTAGTGTGGGTTTTTTTTACAATGACCCAACAAAAGTAGAAGTAAAGGTAAAAACAGATATCTACGACTTGAAATTAAGAGAAATATTCAAATATGAAATACTTGTTTGGATGTTTTTTATAAGCACTGTGCGGTATATTAAACACTCACATTTGAGGATTTCAACGCCACTATTTATAGTGTCCTAACAGTAATGGATCAAGAATAGTACTAACACTGACTATTTTAAAATAAATCACAGTCAGGTAGAAAATATTTTTGCACATTTCAGCCTATATCTTTCATTTTAAACAGCCACCCTGTGCATGATGTACATTTTTAATATCATTTTTTGACATTTTAATGTCATTTTTTGAATCTATATTTATGTACCTCTATGCACCAAATCACCAAAGCAAATTCCTTGTATGTGAAAACCTACATGGCAGTTATCAAGATTCTGATTTTGATTCTGACTGTCCTTATTTTGCCACAAATTCATGTAGAATTCAAGTCTGTGGGTGAACACTCAGTTTTGCATGCTGTTGATATTTTTTTCAGTATCAGATGGCTTCATGTTCTTACACGTAAGCAGGCATATGGAGTCATATCATGTACACATGTTTGGGTTAAGAGATCATCTGCTTCCTTTACAGATGCTGAGGAGAAATATGGACTCCTGAGAAAGGTGTGTGTGCATATAAGGGGTGTTTAATGTGTACTGTGGTTTAAAGTGTAAGAAAAGGAGTGATATAAATAATAATGTGTGTTACTGAAGGAATTTTAAGCGTACATCATGAAAGCTGAGCTAAGGCATGGGTGTCGTTTCAAGATTGGGGTGGACACATGTGAAATGAAGGGTTTTGGCGTCCTACACTAAAAAAATTTAAGTCGCAAACACCTAATTTCCTGCATTCTGGTGGATTTTTTTGCAACAAGTGCCTTTCTGTGTCAGTTTATGGTGTAAATTCCCTTAATTCTGTTTTATTGGGGAGGACAAACACTTGGGGGCGATGAATCACCTGCGTCCCTGCTGAAATCTACGCCTCTGTGCTGAGCTTTCCAATGAGGTATAGAAAGAAAGTACCCTAAGTCACTCCAGCACCTGTGTGTATCTCCTGGCAGCCTTCCTGTCCTGATGTGGAGCAGATAGACGCCTGCCCTCTGAACCTCGCCCCTGTGTGTGGCACCGATGGAAACACTTATGCCAATGAGTGTACCCTGTGTGTCCAGAGACAGTGAGTACACACAGCTGCTCCACTCTCAGGATAGTCACACATTAGCTCAACAACATCCATGTTGACTGTGAGGAGGACAAAGTGTTGGAGTCGTCCTCTGGTGGTGGATGAATTTAAGGACTACAGTCACAAGACTGAACCCTGAACAGGCTGTCAGCAGCAGCTGATTCAAATGACTGGAAGCTTTCCACTTTATGATTCATCTCTTTGTTTTCACACTTAATGACCTAGTGTCATTAGTCATTACTGTTTCATTTTTCTGATGACCAATTCTTGAAAACATTGATTTTTTTTTTTACAATTTATCTCCACTGTTGCTCGACTTTACTCCCACAATCAGACACAATGAGTTTACGAGGTGTGACTTCCAAAAACAATCTTTTAAACTGCCTTGTTTTCAATCTAACCACCAACACTGATACAAAGTTGAACTGAATCTCAGCTAAGCGAAAAGGAATGACTCACAGCCATGTCATGTTATGATCCTCTTTGCAGAGCAACCAAGACGGACATTTTGATTGCCAAAGAGGAGAGCTGCTGACCTGCGCAGGGGATGAAGCCAAAGCTAAAGGAACCAATCCAGACCTGATTATCAACCCAACACAGATCTGTGCAACAATATGTCCCAAACTTTTGTGTCATTGCAAACAGTAATAAAACTTTCCCAGCAGTGAACAACCTTCTGTTTTTTATACACATGAATTGTGGATCATGTTTATGGAGGGAGTAAAAAAGTGAGGGAGTAAAAATTCATGAAGAGGAAGCTAGTAAACGGTTTTTTGTTGCTGATTTGCAACAGAGGCGATACAAGGGGAAAGAAAAAAAGAAAGGATATTGATTTAGGTCACATGATCTGAAAGCATTCCTTTGTAAAGTGAAGGCAGGAGGTGAATGATCAGTTGGTTATCTCCGTGGGAGAGCCAAATGTTTACACTCCTGAAACTGAGTAACACAGTGGTCAATAATGTTCAGGTGTGTGTGTGTGTGTGCGTGTGTGTGCGTGTGTGTGATGAAGACAAACAAGAGACTGTGAGGAAATGCAACAGCGAAAGAAGCACAGAGCAACACACTGGCAGAGAGGACAGTAAAATACAGAGAAATGGAGTGTTGAATCCTCAGGTCAAAGGTCAAAATGTGTGGGTCACGTGGTTGAAACTAGGAAACAGAGAAGTGGTTTCAATCCTGTCACTTCCTTCATCTGGACAGTGTAGCAGGACAAGCTTATAAGACTTCAGTAAACTGCCTTATCAATGATGATAAGAATCCCAGCGAACAGTGGGTGAGTACGCACTGCAAATACTCTGCTTACTGCTGCTAGCATTACGATACTGCTCCTTACTCTGTCACTATCAGCTGTTGGTTATGATGTTACGCTGAGTTATGATTAACAACCTGGATCTAGCTGTTTTGAATCAAGACAGAGCGACAGTGAACCTGAACCTGAGTTTATTGATGTATTATGAACTCATATTATACAATAGTAATGATTTTTTTAACCTTGTTTGCTCAGTTGAGTTTAGTTTCATTTTGTTGAGCCTAAAGTTCAGATCAGTTACATTAAACTGTGCTACATCCTGTTTCTCCAGGGTCGCCAAAGTTCAGGACTGTCAAAATGGAATCTCAATGGATCTTTTCCTGCACCTGTCGCTCATACCAGCAGTAAGTTGTCCTTTTATCCAGGAGTGAAGCTGGGGGGAGGGGCTCTGGTGGTCCAACCCCGAATGTTTCCTCAAAAGCACCAAAACTTTTAGGATTTTAAACCTTCAACTTTGTGTCATACAGATAATAATATATGCCCATTTTGTTTATCCTGCCATGCTGTCATTGGGTAAATGTGCCTCTGTTGGCCTAATATTCAATAAGTGTATTGAAGACTTTGCTTTCATGGGGATCCTTGATGTGCAATTAGAGCAGCCCAGATTATTATGGGATGGATTCAAATGATGCAATCAGCTAAACATTCATTCTGTGAACTCTACCCCAGCATAGAAAAATGAAAATAGCTTTCAAGATTAGAAATGCTGTTTACATTAAATCCCCACTCTATCTATGTCATGAAACCTAAAAAAAGTAATGTTTGCCTCTTTTAAAGTTGCAGGAGCGAAAATAAGTCATCTTTTACATTTGTTGTGTCATGGTTTCAGAATGATGAGGACAGTTGCAGAACAATTAGATACAAAATGGGACACAGGCTCTACGTGATTTTTTTTTTTTTTCATTTAGTAACTATTTTGTTTTACCAAATGATTTACAGAATTTCAAATGGCGTGAAAAATACTGTATATAGCTACTGTGAATGGGAAAATCTCCACAGGGGAGCATGCCACCGCACCCCCAGAAGGTTTAGGCTGAGCAACAAATGTATATATGTCTGGCTCCGCCTCTGCACGTCTTTAACCTGGAATATGGGCGTTGTTTGACATGTTAATTGGCTTTTCAAAACGTCCTTTTTCCATTGGTCCCTGTCCTGTGAAAAACATGTATCTCTAAAACCCAGAGTTGTCAGGAGCCAAGAATGGCAGCCCTAAATTCTAACTTTGTGTTTTCAGATAATCCAGAGTGTTTTTAAAGGGACTTAGTTTATGAGGAGGAGACATTTCTCAACCAGAAGTTCTCAATCCCTCCATTTTCCTGTAAAATTAAAAATCACAAAATTTGGAGATACCTGATTTATACTCAGCAGCAAGTAAAACTGAAATTTTGCAGTACATGGTAATATCATTTTTTTTTACAAGTCTGGAAAAATGATCATTTTTAATGGGTGTCATACAGAGTAACAAAATGATGCTATACAACCAAGAACTGAAAACACACAACAGCTAGTGGCAGAGTGCATACCTGCACTATTCAGTTCAATTCAATTCAATTCAATTCAGTTCAGTTCAGTTCAGTTCGGTTCGGTTCGGTTCGGTTCGGTTCAGTTCAGTTCAGTTCAGTTCAATTCAGTTCAATTCAATTTTGTTTTTAAAGCCCAATATCACAAATCACAATTTGCCCAGAGGGCTTTACACCATATGACAGACGGATGTCATATGCTGGGATGTCACAGTGGATAAGCAAAAAACTCCCCCAAAAAAACCCTTTAACAGGGGAGCAAATGGTAGATACCCCAGAAGAGCAACTGAGCAGGGATCCCTCTTCTAGGACGGACAGACATGCAATAGATGTCATGTGACTACTTTATCTGTAATTAATGAGCAGGTAGATACAGCAACTTGATCTTAGGACGCTTGCAGGGAGAATCAAATGTGAGACCTTGTTTTTACAAGATGACTCCTCAATTCAGTGAATCGTCCTGCCACCTTGAACATACAATATAAGTCAACTTCTTTCCATTTCACACACTTTCAGCAATGCTAACAAAGCATTGCATTGTTTGTATATTATCTATTGATATTTTGTCTTCCAGCTGGTGATCACAGGGGTGCTGTCGTTCCTCCAGAAGAGAGCCAAGAGACTCGCCATCGACGACAGACTGCCCTTCCTGGGCGGACGTTTTGCCATTGTGGTGTAAGTCAACAGCAGACAGCAACTATGAATGTGGAGAGAAAAATCAATAGCAAATATCTGTTTTAATATCACAACTGACGTGTCTGAAATTCAGTACTGGTGTCATTATAAGCAACAGTCTACCTGTATTTTTGACAGGCTTCATTAGCAACCACATAATCAGCGATATGTTCTTGTGTTAATGATTCCACTGTGTCTCAGTCCTTTGGATACGATAGGCAGCCTCAGTAATCGTTGGTCCTATGGGTTTGCATTTGGTGCCGTGTCCTCCAGCGTCCTGCTGCTCTTCTCTGAAAATTACGTCCCCTTCACTGTCCCGCCCTGGGCCAGAGGTACTCCCATTGTTTACCATTGTTGTCCAGGCTCTACAATCAGACCTGTTTACTTTGCAGATACAAGAAATAAACGCACTAACTGATGTGATGTTGTCTGACTGTTCTTTCCAGCTATATTGTATTTGGTTGGAGCGTTAGAGGTGGGCCTGGTCTATCTCCCTTTCTTTGCCTGTCTGTCCACACCTTTCAGAGCAGCTGGGGCAGTGCTGGGAATATTCTACTCTCTGGCCTGGTAAACAGCCACTCATATATGTTTAGACACTCATTTTCTTTTCTTAAAAATGTGGATTACTAGAGCAAAGGGTTTCTTTAGTGTTTGTCTTTCACAAAACATCATGTCTCCCTGCTTGTTTTTAGGATCATTGTTACAGTCTGGGATACATTCACCTGTCCCAATGGTAAGGTAGGTGGGTATTCAACTCATCATGAATGGTGTTAATATCATGTGCCTGTTGCAGCGTGGCCTCCACCAAGAAACCAGCCTCCTCCCTCACACCTAAATAAATCAGGCTCTACAAAACACTGATGTATGATGAGCGACCTGTTGGTATGTGTTTGAAATACCATGAGAAAATGTGACAGACTTTGTGTTTGGTTTTAAAGATTCTGGGTAAATACCAAAAGGTGATTGTGCAATGGCCCTGCATCCTCTCCCTCATCTTCCTCATGGGGCGATTTATCTACATTCTGGTAAAAGCTATTCGAATTCATCTGCAATTGGAAGAAGAGGTCAGCATGCCTAATGCATAAAATCTTTGAAATCATTCTTGCTGTGTATTTTTAATGTAGATAAAACTATTGATCGATAAACTACTTTGTGTTTTATTGTGAAATGTATGTATGTTATTCCCCCTCACAGTACAGTATGCACTGATTATATATCAGGTTTTTGTTTGCTTAATAATAAAATCTCTACTGACCTATGTGTCTATCTAATCTATGAATGTGCTGAATCTGTTGTCAGGACCCTGAGGAGCTGACTGAGCACCACCAGGTGCAGCATGTACTGAGACTGCTGAGGAAAACACCTGCACAGAGGTAGATTACACAGTCATTTGCAAGTCCTTCTGGTTTAAGAGGTGGTTTTCAGTTCTGTTGGTTTTTGAGCAATACACTTTTTCTGCATGATTTAACAGGTTTACCAAAAATTTTGAGCACTTGACATCAGTAATTTTCAGAAACAGAACATAAAAATCTAGTTATGAGTCTTTTTGACCACCTTTCAGTCACTATTTATCATTCATTTCTCTAGGGAGAAGAGTATTTGCATACTGATAATCCATCAAAGTAAAAATTGTGTTTATCAATCATAATTATTTATTTATTGCCGTGTGGTAATTTAGTTCAGTGCGTACCAGTTTAAAGCCTGGTAGGTTCAGGTGCTGTTTAGCTGCAGCACCCAAGATTTAGGAGTCAGCTTCTCTACTGCAGTGATATCATGAGTAATGTCACATGGAAGATGCTTTACATGCAACAATAATAATCCTACATGCCACAAAAATTGTAGATACAGTAAACTGTCTTCAGCCACTTTATGTCTGAAAATGTTTCATTTCTGGGATTTAATATTTAAAACTTTTTCAACAATGTTTGGACAGCTGGTTGCCTCATTTATGTCCATGGCAATATTTGGAGTAACTCCTCGCAATGGTAACTTAAGTAGAGCCCAAACACATATTGTTTCTTTTTGCTCACTTCTAGCCAGAAGGCTCGTCCTGTGTAAATGGAAGGATTTTTCACCTCCATTATATAAACATTGGATTAAGGATGTTACGTATAATTTACGATTGGAGAAAATCCATTGTTTTATTAAAGGATCAACTGCACGCTTCTTTGCCACCTGACAACCATTTTTAATTTTGGTAGCAAATATGGAGGCTGAAAAATTGTAATGAAACATGTAATACTCCCCTACTTATGTCACACAAGTTAATTAATTTGTCGCCCCCCCTTGTTTAAAAAAAAAAAATGTAGTTACAGTATAAGAATTCAGACAGCCATGGACACACACATGCACAATTGTTTTAACACCCCTTTCTGTGTCACAGTAAGCCCCTCAGCTGGTTTCAGAGAAGAGTGTATGAGTGGGATCCCCACTTCAAGTTTCCCAACAGGATCATTGGCACCGTCATTATATCCCTTATAGGCCTATATACGGTACAGCAAGCCATCTCTTGTCATTTAACTGCCTCATCCATACACTTTGTGTTGGACAAGTGTTAGACAAACACCTTATCTGAGCATCTGCTGTGTGTAATGATTGTGGTGTCATTTCTGTAGATGACCCTGGCAGACTACAGTCTCAGCAATGTGACTTTTGACAAAGCAGAAAGGTGGAAGAACACACTAAAACAGCTGGTTGCCTCTTGTAACCAGACTGAACCTCTGGAAGTCATGATGCCGCAGCTGGAAGAATTCATCCTGGTGGCTAGGAGTGAGTTGGTCTAACCCCCCCTCATAATCATGATCTGATTGATGCTTCATTCTTGTGTATGGTGGACATCAAACAGGTTTTGGTGACATTTCCACCACATTTGTCCTGCTTCCTTGGTTCTAAAGATAAGAAAAAAACAAAAATCAACTCTCCACTGCGGCCTGATAAATTTAACTAAGAAAGATTGTTGCTATTTCGTTTATTTCAGGGTCTTGGTTTGCTACCACCATCTTCGCTAGTCTCAATTCTGTGGCCTATTGCTTCCATGTCTTGGCCTGTTACAGGTAAGAGACCTAATAATAGATATAAATATATAAATGTATTGAAATTCTAAGATAACCGTCTAAAAAAAGTAAGTAAACTGATTTAGTTTTGGAAAGTTAGATGAAATTTCCTAATTAGTTATTACAAAGAACCTCATAGATGAGTGACATGGTGCACTGTCGCCACAGAAAACACTTAAAGCGGCTGTGGAGGGGACAGAAGACTTTTCTTCCTGAGAGGTTTCGCAACCCCAAATCTGCTCTCAGCGTAGTAAGTAACACACACACGCGTGCAGCAGATGGCAGGCAACTCTTGGGCAAATTTGACTTCGGCTTGGCACTAAAGACCCAAACCAGCATTCACAATTATGACACTGGCCCCAGTTTCCCCTGTTTACAGGTCATGATGTGCATCACAGTGTATGTCATTTACATATTCTTTGCTCCTCATATTGAAAACCATATGGCCACTGCACCCCACCAGCAGGCTCTACCAACACTCACACTGGCAACTAAGTCTGTAGTATTTCGCTGTGGTAGCATCAATTTGAGTGATTCAGATATGCAGAGCATGTGGTACTCTACATGTGTGAATGTCTTCACCTCATTTAATTTAACCTCTTTCTGTATTTTATTGCATTTAAAATAAGTTTTATTTTTTATGTTGTTTTTTGTTTCCACAGGCTTCCATTGCAAGATACTCTGGTTGGCAAATAGCGTTTACACTGTGGGGTAAGCTTTTTATCTCCTGAAACACACAAGGAACTGACATGTACTACATGAAATTAAAAAACAAAAACAGGAGATGAGCAGATGTATTTTTATCAGCACATGTTATGGGACTGAGTCCAAAATTTGCTTTCCTGTTGAGGGAAAGTACACATTAACAGGAGTTTAAGACAATGACTAACTTCAGTGAATAAGCTCATATAATAGATGCAATCAAATGAGTTCAACTCATTTAAGGGATTTTGGGTTTGTCAGTAAAACTTGAGGTAAAGCCTGTCTCATGCTGCAAAAGTAATTCACTGGAGAGCTTTAGTTTTAGCTTTGACCGTCAGGGCAATATAACAGTGGTGAGAAAAGCACAAAAGTCTGGTAGTTTTCTTTGTGATAACTTAAAAAATAATCCAGCTAAGATCATGGGCGGATTCTTAGACAGCTGTCACAGATATGCAAAAGGCCCCACCACCTTTTCTACTTAGGCGGAATTTATACTTCTGCATTGAATCAATGCCACAGCAATGGCGTAGGCTCTGCGTCAACATGGAGCCTACGCGGCAACACAGACCTCCTGTTTATTTTTGTAAGCTGAGACCATTTCCCTCAGTGGAAACAAAGTTTTTATTTACTTTAATTTCACATATAAGAAACAATAAATTGTGAAAACAGTAAAGCCTCTGCAAAAATAGAATTTTGAATCTTCAGGGATTTATACTTCAAGATTTATCCTGGTTTCATATGAGCAGAGGAAATCTCTGCTATTCGCTAGGCTAATTTATACAGTGTAAAATGCCATAGGCTTGTGCTAAAAACATTAGCATGTTGTATTTGTGGGGAAAATGTGTCCAGATAAAGACAAGTGTTTGTCTGTGAATGCTGCAAGTTATAGTGAAGCCAATTTGTGTGCTTGTGTTTGAAATTAAGGTCTCTATTAAGCCATGTTTTTGTTGTGTTTTGAATCAACTAAACTTCACAGAAACCCTGCCACCAATTACTGTTTTAGAGGTGCAGAGTGACACAGACCACAGCACAAGTATAAATGCTCACAACAGCATAGGCTACAGCACAAGGTTTGCTGCACAACTACAAATCCCACTTTAGGCTCGTGGGCCTGAGCCCAGTAGGCCCATTCAGTGATTCATCCATGGCTAAGATCCAGTAATTGGTATCAAACCTCCACAAATCAACATCTCAACAAAACCTTAGACACCTTTTAATGGAATACCACTAAACATGTTTGTAGAGAAACATTTTACTCAGTCATTACATTTGTTGATAGTGGCCATGTGAAAATATTACAGGAGTTATGCATGGATAGATCTGTAATATTGTCCTACTGCACAGAAAAGATTTGTTCTGAGAATGGAATAGAAAAATGACTAAACAACAGCACAGTCACACCACGAGTAAAATATGAAAACGTCTCTTCTGTATTTTCTCTTTAGGCTACCTGATTGTCCATTTTATCCACTTCCTGTTTGCTCTGCTGTTCGTCTATGCGCTGGTTCTTCCCATACAGCATGGAAAAGCACTGAGCATGCTCAGCAACCTGGGGCTTATACTGTAAGGCTGCTTTCTGTGGAGTTGTGGATATATGACTGCATGTGAATGGATGGTTAGATTGACAGATAAACATGTTGGTTGATTGATTTTAACCTTTCTCCTGTGTCTTTCAGTTTGACCATCACTCTGGTCATTGCCCTGGTTTTCCTCCAGATAGCTCTGGTTCAGATCTTCTTCCTTCAGGACAAAATGTCTCCAACTGATAAGCAGAAACCTCTGGCTATCAACAACAGGTTGGTATATTTCAATATAGATATAACGTAAGCACCGACCATGAGACCATCAAACCCAGGTCCTCCATTTGGCAGCAAACACTGACCACCGAAAAGGGAAGTGCTGGTAATAAAGGCCAAAACAGAAATTAGCTGTGGACTGTTTGATGACATAATGTGATGGTGAAGCACTTTCTCACTTAACCAGTGGTGTAAAGCAGCTTCAGTGACTTGCTGACACAAGCAGATACAGAATGAATATGTTACTTTTAATACCTATATGTTGAACGTTAATAGGACAACTGAATGTCATTCAAAGTGAATCTGTAGTAGCTGTAAATCACAGTTTCTCTTCCCTCTCTTCAGGAAGGCATTCCACTGCTTCAACTACTTCTTCTTTTTCTACAACGTAGTGATGGGGATCAGCAACTGCATAATGAGGCTGGTGTTCAGCATTGTGACAGGAACGTGGCTAGTGTCTCGCATAGACCGGACCATTATGCAGAGAGGATATGAAAACTTGGATGCTGGTAAGCTTAACTACAACCCAGGCTCATGTGAGACAAAACTTAAATATTGGTTCAAGGAGTTAAGACGTTAAATGTCACAGCCATTCATCCTTGAAGATCATTTTCTTCCAGGAGATGGCAGCATTTTACAAAACATCAGAGGAGTTTTTTTCATCAACACATATTGTTAAATGCACTATAAATTCAGTGCTATGTCTCATATATGGTGTGTGTGTGTGTGTGTGTGTGTGTGTGTGTGTGTGTGTGTGTATTTCTTGCATGTTCCAGGCTATGGTACTTGGATTGGGATGATCTTTGCTGACCACTACCATAATAATCCAGTCATGGTGTGTTTCTGCCAGCTGCTGGTCTATCACAAGCTGGAGAGCCACACTGCATCTATATACTCAACATTCAACAACCTGCAGTCCGGTCAGTACTGTGTGTGTGTGTCCGTGTGTGTGTGTCTCTTAAATTAACAATCCTCCACAAAATAACTACTACTGCTACCACCTGGACACTATCAAAGATACACCAAGTGATGAAACTAGTAATTTTTTCTTTAAATTAGGTCCCACTTTATTGCATTTATGCATTTGTTTATCATAATTATTTTTTCTTAGTTTTTAGTTTATTAACTTTAAACTTTTTTACAGAATCCCCTGTGAATAGCCGGGCCAGGACGCGTTGGATGTTGGCTTATTCCCTACTGCGGAACCCTCATCTGATCCTGCTTAGGAAGCACCACCTCTCACAATCTTCATCAGTACAGTCGGACACAGTGGTGCAGGCTTGTGTCATGGCTTCTCAATCAAAGGAAGTTTTGCTACCAGAGATCGTAGTCACACCAGCAGAAGAGTCTTAAAGAAAAATTTTACATAGATTTTCATCTTGTTGTGACCATGTGGTGTTTTCGATACGTTTTTTTCATCTGACGAGTTATAATCTGATTAATGTGATCCATTCGTCCTTAGGAGATTTGACTTAAGGAAACTGTGAGAACCTGTATTGTAGATTGACTGTTTAAGTCAAGTTATGTTTTGAACTGCTGCACAGTATATGGACACGGTCAAGGTTAACTGTGGACCTTTGTACATAATCACAACAACCTCTCTGCCACATATTCTACTAACGGATGTGGTGCACTACAGCTGGCTGTTTATCAGCCTAAATATGTTTAATTTATTAAAATCATGTGAGCCACACCATACAGCCATTCTGCTTGTTATTCAAGGTTTTTGTTATAAATGTAAATGATAATAAATGTTTATACACAGCTGCTGTGTATTCTGAATGAACATACAATATGTGCTCTGCATACATTGGGCCTGAAAACAAGCATGTGTAAGTCTCTACTTGTAAATATGTTGTTTATATGCTGCAAAATAGAAATGGTAAAGCTGCATCAGTGTGAATGACTTAAAAGATGTCGAGGTGATTCTAATTAATGTTTTAATAATTTATTAGCTATGTTAGCTATATTTTTAATTCATTAGCTATGTTATAAGTACAAGTATGGAATGCTGAATGCTGATATTTCCGACACCACTTAAAAGCAGCATATTTGGACTATTTAGATAAAATATAAATATATATATATATATATATATATATATATATATATCCAACGACCGTTTTCCGACTTGTCAATCACATATAAAGTGATGCATTTAGCTAGTTAAATGCTCATTAGAGAAATGTGAGAAATACATACGTTCAACATCATAAACCAATGCCAAATACAGGCTAAAATAAAACACACCGGTAGTGACCTTTTGAACTTGTGGGCGTAACGTTAAACATGCACGTGATTTTGAATTCGACTTTACCAAAGACACCACTAAGCAGTTTGGCTAGCAAAATTCAGTGAAAATTACAGGTAATGTAAACATAGAAACGTTATTATCAGCCTTTACACTTGAGCTAACGTTANAACTAGAATATAAAACATGTTTTCAGTTATTTCACCTTTTTTTGTTAAGTACATAACTCCACATGTGTTCATTCATAGTTTTGATGCCTTCAGTGAGAATCTACAATGTAAATAGTCATGAAAATAAAGAAAACGCATTGAATGAGAAGGTGTGTCCAAACTTTTGGCCTGTACTGTATATATATATATATATCCAACGACCGTTTTCCGACTTGTCAATCACATATAAAGTGATGCATTTAGCTAGTTAAATGCTCATTAGAGAAATGTGAGAAATACATACGTTCAACATCATAAACCAATGCCAAATACAGGCTAAAATAAAACACACCGGTAGTGACCTTTTGAACTTGTGGGCGTAACGTTAAACATGCACGTGATTTTGAATTCGACTTTACCAAAGACACCACTAAGCAGTTTGGCTAGCAAAATTCAGTGAAAATTACAGGTAATGTAAACATAGAAACGTTATTATCAGCCTTTACACTTGAGCTAACGTTAATGCACATCGCAAATAACTTTTGTAAAATGTCATTTGTGGGCCGAAACAACAAGCTTTAATGTCACTGCAACGTTAGCTGCAAACGAACAGTAAGCGGATAGCCGAGCAGCTAACGGTCACGTTAATCCTAAAAGCAGCATTTGCGCTGTTTAACGTTAGCTAAAAAAAATATCTATATATATCCAACGACCGTTACAAGTCTACAAGTCTGACTTGCCAATCACTTACAAAGCAATGCATCTAGCTAGTTAAATGCTCTCTAGATAAGTTGAACATCATAAACCAATACCAAAATACAGGCTAAAATAAAACACACCGGCAGTGACCTTTTCAACTTGTGGGCGTAAACGTGCAGGTGACTTTGAATGGACGATACCGAAGACACCACATAACAGTTTGGTGAGCGAAAGTTAGTGAAAATTACAGGTAATGTAAACATAGAAACATTTTATCTGTCTTTAAACCTAAGCTAACGTTATTGCACATCACAATTAACTTTGATAGGGTTGTAAAATGTCAGTTGTGAGCCGGAACAACAAGCTTTAACGTTACTTTATGGCTAACGTTAGCTGCAAACGAACAGTTAGCCGTTAGCCAAGCAGCTAACGGTCACGTCATCCGTCTTTAAAGCAGCCTATTTGCGCTATTTAGCAAAAGTACATACATCCAATGACCGTTTTCCACAAGATTGACTTACCGATCACATTTAAAGCGATGCATTTAGCTAGTTAAATGTGAGGAACATTTAAGTTCAACATCATATACCCATGTCAAATACAGGCTAAAGTAACGTTAAACACACTGGTAACAGTTAATAACCTTTTGAATTTGTGGGCGTAATCGTGCACGTTACTTTGAATGCGACGATACTGAAAACACCACGTAGCAGTTTGGCTAGCGAAAGTTAGTGAAAAGTACAGGTAATGTAAACATAAACAGTTTTATCTGCCTTAAAACTTGAGCTAACGTTATTGCACATCGCAAATAACTTTGAAAGGGTTGTAAAATGTCCGTTGTGAGCCGGAGCAACAAGCTTTACTTTACAGCTAGCTGCAAACGAACAGTTAGCCGTTAGCCGAGCAGCTAAGTTAACGGTCACATCGTCCGTCTATCGGTTAAAGTTAAATTAGCGGCAGGCATCCGTTTTTGGACCAGACCTGTTGTCTCATTAATGTTTGACGCCTCGCAGCGAGGACATAGACTAAAAATTTGCCTTGTGGTTTTAGTAACTCTGCCTTTTGTGTGGCCCATAAGGTTGCTGGATATTGTGGAATCCAGCTAGCTGTCTTTGACATTGTGGTAGACACTGAGTTAGTTTAACCAGCCGAATTTTGCTCTTTAACTTAAAGAGGAACTCTTGTAACATTGTAAGATACAAAAGTTGTGTTAAATATTTGCTTGCTCAGATAACTTACAGTAAACAAGAATGTTTAGCCAATGCAGCAGCTTAAGCACAAATGTTTTACTGTATATCAGCATCAAATCCACGAAGCAGTGTTGGTTTCAAATCTTAACTTTTTAGAGCGTTTTTCTGAGACAAAATTAAGGTGGAGCCCAAAATCCCGAGTCTGTCCCCCAAAACTCTATGGTTAAAATGACGGTGTCTGAAGGTCCTATTAAAAGTCTTACAATGTGTTTAATTTTTAATAGTAGGCCATAAAGTCATCATTCTTGAATATGAATTTGTGAGGTCATATTTGCCACAAATATATCTAATAAAGTCCACATTTCTGATGTTACAAATCTTTAAACTTTTCACTGAACCTATATCTCTCTTTTATAGGCGCAGTTACCTGTTGGCTAAATATAGATTGATAGCCATATGTCAACATAAAACGAGACCACATATAAACACCTTATCTTTATACTTGCGGTGCTTCAAATAAGTAAGTAATTAATTGTCTTAAATTATTTTGAAAAGGTCTTTACAGCATTCATTTTAAGTGTCTTATAGATGTAGACAACCTGTAAGTGCTTTTAACTGATGCTGTACTGTACTCGTGCATTTTTAACCCCACTGATTTTTTGTCCGCGTTTCTTTTTCTGTGTGAATTCAGCAGGATGTCGGACAGCGAGTCCGTAAAGAAAATGTTGCGGTCTGTTCTCCAGTCCAGCAAGGCAGGTGTTTCTATTAACACTCTCCAGTCAGAGTACCGCTCACTGTGCGGAGAGAGCATCCCGCTGAGGAAGCTGGGCTACTTGAAACTGGAGGACTACCTCAGGAGCATCCCCTCGGTGGTCCGCCTGGACTACCGCATGGGTGAGGTGAGGGCTGTCATTTTTATTTACCCAGGTTTAAGGTCATTGTCACCTGGTTGTTAATTTGCTTCCATAAACTACTGGCCGAGGCCAGCTAGCATGAGCACAGAACCGATAACCTCCGTAACAAGTTGTGTGTAGTTCATTAAATTCAATAAATGTGCCCTGTAGATGATGTGCTTTGCTGCGGTGTGTCAAGAGACAGCCCACATTGCTGAGCTGGTGGCCAGGCAGAAGAGCCCCAAGAAATCTTGTCGTGCACAGTTTGTCAACTGCAAGATGAGATTCAAACCTTCCAACCCATACATGCTCAATGGTAGGAGACACTTGTTACATTTAATTTCTTCAGCGGGTGATTCCTCATCATTTATCAAAGCTTTGTTTGTATCTCATTTCCTTTATTCACCATAATCTGACCTGTTGTCACCTTTCACATGCATTTAGTCAGGCCAAGGTTGTCTCTCCGCCAACCCTCAGCTAGTAATATCTCTAACTGGATGCATAACCGTCCTCGATCCCATGGTGGCTACAGAGGAGGTTTCAGCGCCTCAGGAGACTACAGGTAAACATTAACAGTTTCCATCAGGTGTTAATGAGCATTAAATCTTCAGTCTGTGCTTTATGTCAAGAGACTTCCAAAACTAATAAACCGACGTGTTTGCTCGTGTTCTCCCCAAACAACAGGCTGTCGGACCCAAGGTTCAGCTCTGTTACCCCGGTGGAACACAGACGACCAGCTCCTCAACCAGCTCCTCTTTCCACTGTAAAGCAGTTGTTAAAGCCTGACAGGTAAACACACACATGTGGACAAACATGTCACTACACTCAGCTCTGTTGAATCAAAGATGTGGTTCCTCTATGCCCAGTATTCACTTCAGGCAAGGATACATTTTCAGTTTATTAACCATAACTATGTAAGTATAAAAGTTAGCACGCTAACACCACTTTTAATGGTATTTAATATTAAAATATTTTTCATGGCAATTATTTTGATATATCAGCAGTGGTATAGTAGAAGCTATCCATAGTCAAGTCTCCAATTATGGACCACTTAACCAGCATCTATTAGCTTATTATTTTATCAAGTTCTGCAGCAGGATGTTTGTATTGAATGACAGCTTGTTGCTGTGAAAAGCACATTATGCTTAAAGACTGCTATGTTGCCAACAGGAAAGAGGAGAGCTTGGCAAACTATCAGAAGATCAGAGGTACGTGGGACCTTCTTGGTGTGTGTCCATGTCAGTTTCAAAGCATTTTAAATGGTTCCCTTTAAAATAAAATTAGGTTTTCAAAAATTAGAATTTACATATTGTTGGATCTTTAACCGCCTTGAAAACATGAGGTCAGGCGCTGGTTATTGCTCCTTTGCCTGTCTGTGCCAACTTTTAAGAGCGCAGAGGCAGGTTGCATCTGAGGCTGCTAAGCAACCATAACCAGTACCCAATCACAGCTTACCCACCAGAATCCTGACTGTAAAGCTGATGTTCCTGCAGGTGTTGTTTTGCAGTGTGTATTAGAATATTGTCTGTGGGACAGATGTAAAGCTCTGAGTAGCCCTTTAGTGAAATGATCAACTTGTGCTCCATATTTACCATGGACTGATAGATACAGAAGAAGGGAACTATATCTGCTGGCGGTGGTTGTTTTTTCCTTTTACTAATTAACCTTTTTGTCTTCCTTTGCACAAATTTCACAGAGAAGCCTCCAGAACAAATCTCTAGACTTGGCCAATCCCAGGTACAGTAAAAACCTTCTCTGTGCTAGCTGTGTCCCATTTCTACTTGAATTGACAGTTTACATTTGATTTGCAGTATATTGCATTTTGTGTTTTAACTACATCCATACTACATATACACATATGTGAAGAAAATGTGTCTGTTCGTCTTATATGTGAATGATGTCTATTTCTGTTTTTGCACCCCAATCAGTGATGTCATAGCATTTCTTTTCCTTTACCGCTTTTAATGAGTTTATTTTGTATTAGTTGATATCTGTGTTTGTTTTATTTATTTGATTTGAGGCAAGAAAATGTGAAACTGATTTAAAAAAACAACAACATGGGGACATACTCGTAGTGATCAATCATGTGAATGTCCCCATGCAGTCTGGTTCGTATGACATGGAGCTGGTGCAGAGCAGAATCACTCAGGTGCTGGAGAAATACTGCAGTGGATTGTGGATGTCGAAACTGCCCGCAGTCTACAGAGAAATGTTTGGTGAGAGCCTCCACCCTCAGGTGCTCATAGATCTGGAAAAGTGGACGGACGTTAGTATGGTGAGTCAGTAAGGTTTTTTTTGTACACGTACAAATATTTATTCCAACCAGTTAAACAAAGTAGGCATTGTGAAGCCTTGTGAGTGTATGGTTTGAGGCCTGTAAAAAATTGCATATCTGGTCTTTAAGTGGAAAATATCTTATTTGAATACAGGTAGTTGGGTTTTAGGTAGAAAAACTGTTTTCCAAATACAGTTGAAGGTTCCATCAGAGGTTTAACATCCTTAACAGGAACTGATAGGAGTTAAAATCTCTTTCCACAGGTGGAGCAAATGCAGAGCACCAATCGAGCCGACCGCCTAATCTACCCTCCTCTGCCTTCTAAGCCTTGTGTTTTCCCTGGAAGTCCCACCACCAGCACGCCTCCGACATCGCCCTCTGATTCAAGAAGAATCAACACACTCCTTTCTTTACGCCCATCAGCTACTGAACAGCTTTCCAACCCCCACTGTCCCCCCCCTGTCCCTAAACCACGAGTTTGCCCGTTGGCTAAGCCCACCTTCATTTTTCATCCACAACTTGCCCATGACCCAGCTCCTGCTTCACCGAATCCCCCATGTGTTAATCCTGCAGTCAATGGTGGATGTAAAGATGATAACAACTTGCCCACAGCCACCCTCAACCACAGCCGAAACGCTCAGCCCTCAGCTTCCACCTGGACATGGTCTGCATCAACCAACGCTCCTCCACTGGCTTCCTCCATCCAAACCGACCCTGAAATTTTACCTCTTTTGAAGGTCACATTCTCTCCTAACTCCAATTCTGCCCCTTGTCCTCCACCAAAATCTCCTGCTGACATTGTGTCAGCTGAATTGCGTGAGAGAATAAAGGAGCTTCTGTCTAAGTACAGTCAAGGTCTGTGGGCCCATGCTTTGCCCAAACTCTTTATGGACACGTACAAGACACCATTCCCCGAACACGTTTTGGACAACTTGTCTCTTTTGCTGGATTTCTGCAGCGTGGAGTATCCTATGTCGCATGACAAGAGGAAGGTAAGTGAATGAGATGACACAATATATACCAGAGTTAACGCTTTGTACAAGTTAAGTCCTCAACACTAGTGTGAAGTTATCTTATTCTCACATTTAATGCTCACTTGATGGATGTTTTTCTAACAGTAGAAATTATTTCTTCTTTAACGTGACCTTTAACTCTTTGAGGAGCTCAGGTTACATGCTGTTAAACTATTTGTGTCTATTAATGTGTTTGTTGTTGATGTACTTTCCTGTGGGCAGGCCATTCTGTATTTCTCCAGCAGAGCAGACATAGAAGCCACAGACAGCCAAGACAGCCAGCGAGGCAAAAGCCATCCCCTTCCCTCTGGTCTGGAGGTCCTGGGTCCTGTAGTGCCTCCTAGTCTGGTTCTTCCCTCAGAGCAGTACCCCTCTGTGCTGATTACTGATGCCCAGAGCAGCAGTGCTGTTACTGTAAGGTGAGACACACTTCATTCTTGCAGACATGAATGAAATTAAGTGTTCCTGAAGCTGTGTGAGGATTTTTTTTAATCTCAAAATATTAACATTTATGACTGATGTAGGTGACATGTACATCATGTATTAAACCAATAAGCTTCTTCCAGTGTAGGGTGGTTGCCTACTCTAAACAATGTTGTTTTTGATTGTGCACTGTTGCAAAATGTTAGTGCAACACAAGGACAGGTGGTTTTGCTTAAAATGGAGAGCAATTATTAGAAACAGCTTTTTCTCTTTCTCCACCTTGATCCACAAGCACCAGGTAGCACATGCATTGTCTAATTTCATCTCTGCAGCTGCAGGATCTGACCTTCTGTTTAATATGCCAGTATTGTGTGTCAAGGTATTACACTGAACTTCTGAATAATGTTGTTGACCTCTCCTTCCGCCTCCTTAGTATTTCTACAAGTATTTATGCTATCAGGCCTACAAGGGTGTGCAGAATAATTTTAGAACAGCTTTATCTTGCTATCTTAAGAGAACAACATACTGTAAAAACAAAAATATGAGCAACCACTCGCGTTTGCTTTGTTAATGTAACATACAGGTTAGTGTCTTTGAAGACTACCTTGCACAGATTGAGAAAAGTTTGTCTTTCTGTTCAGGTATGTAGGTGAGGGCTACTCCAATGCCCAGGAGGCCATGGAGCAGGCCATGTGCTCCTTCTACAACCACAACTCCACCCACCATCCTCTCTCTAAACCTGTTGTTGGTCAGCTGGTGGCAGTAAGAGGGGAGGAAGGAGATGAGCTTGCAAGAGCTCAGGTCGTGGAGGTTGTGGCCCCTGACAAGGTCAAGGTAATCTGTTGTTTTCGTTAAGAAAAATATTTACAATGTAAATCATAATCTAAACCAAAACGACTCTGGGACACAGCTTGTGGTGATCTTCAGTTTGGTGAAGGAAGACATTTGGTAGCTACAGGATGGTGTCAGTATTTCTGCTGCAAAAGAACTTTTGTCTGTCTGTCTGTGCCAGGTATACTATGTAGACTATGGCTTCTCTGTGGAAACCAGTGAGACTAATCTGCTGGAGCTGCATCAGGACTTCCTCTCCCTGCCGTTCCAGGCTATCAATGTCAGACTTGCAGGTATAAAGAGAAAAAGGAAATGATGTTAGGACTTGTTTTGGCTACAGAAGAACCAACAAAACGTTTACATCAGCCAATAGATGTACAGTGTAGGTTCGGTATCACTACTAATAGAGCTTCTCTGGTCCTTCCTCTACCTCTTCCCTCTTCTTCTCATCTCTCTCTCTTCCTTTCTCCCAGGTCTCGAGGCATTCAGCTCCCATCCAGAGGTGCTGTCTTTACTGGACAAGTTGGCAGTGGAAAAGATCCTACTGATGGAGACGTTAGAGCCACATCAACAGAATAATACGCCTGTCACAGTGTTGTACGACACTTCACAGGCTGAAGACATCAACATCAACTCAGCCTGCCTGAAGGCTCTCCGAGATGTAACCATGAACAACCCTCTGACTGTAAGGATTAGTAGAGTGTAATGCATAAGATCAAGGAGAGTCCTCTGTTAGAATAACAGTTTGTGTATGCATATAACAAACCTATGCATGTATAAAGCCAATTAAATGGCAGCAAAGGGGCAGTTTCCCATATTTTTAGCTCAGATCTACAAGTGAGTGGTGCTGTTGTACTATTGTCATATTGGCCTGTGTGTGTTTTGGGAGTTGTGTTAATTAATAGGGGTCTTATTCAGTTGGAATTCAAACCAGCAGATGGTCAGCCATGATTGTTAGGTCCTCAGTGTTAATCGTTTGTGTGTTATCTAACATCAGTCTCTCTGTTACCTGTAGGTAAATGTTACCTATCAGGATGTGTTTGTCACAAATGTGTGTGCAGATGGTATCATCTACTGTCAGCTGCCTTCCAGAGGAACCGCAAGACTCCGCAAGCTGCTGGAAGAAACAGAGTCTTTCTTTATTTCCCAGGTAAATGAGTAATGGAAAGCATTTTATGTTTTGCAGTGATGGTATATTGAATACCAGCAGTATAGTTATCAGGTGTCTTTTCAGTGGGCTGCTTGATGCAGAGAGAGGCTGTTTTCTTCTCAAGATAATGCACAAATTCAATGAATGAGCTGTTTGAATTAACTGTTTAGTCAGTGCTATCATAACCATAGTCAGTTCACTGAAACATGCAGCACTTTCCAAAGCTCAACTTGCTTAGTGAAAACAGGCCTGTAAGATAGGATCTACACCTTGTTTTTATTCAGAGCCGTTCCAGTGCTGATGGAGCAAGGCAAACAAGGTTTTACAGTCATTGAGTTGTGATGTGAGAAAGGGGAGGGATGACTTTATCCAAATATTTAGAGCAGGCATAAACCCACACTGAATCACAAACACAATGCTGTTGCCACACATCTTTGAAACCCTTCAATGTGTGATGCCACATCCCAGTTTTTGATGACAATTGGGATTTTGCCTTCGATAGTTGATGATGATCATGTGAAATCCATGACTTCAGTGTGGCGTCATAAAACTTTAAGTCAGGATTTCTAATGCGTACACACTTAATTCTTTGCTTTATTGGCCTCCAGTGTGATACACAAGCTTCAATAGTCAACTTGAAAACACTCCCGAATACATTTTATTTCCATATCTGGTGAGGTTGATAGGAGCCCCCCTTCAAGGATGGTCTACCTCTTTGGGACAGTCATGGGCTGGCTTGGCTTGGTTTGCTTTAGTTTGGCCTGTCAGCCCAGGACGGCAGGGATTTGTGTCTCCATTACAACAGGGCTCCCTGCTTGAAGGTGTCTTTAACTGATAACAGCTTCTCTTGAGTGATGACATTTCAAAGCAGTGGGCTGATCAATGGCTAAACTTGCTGTTATTTTTGTTGCAAGTGTTAAGCCATCACACAGCAGGGCAGGTAAAACAAGTTTACCTGTTGGAGGTGAGCTGTTTGCAGTCGTGCAGTAAGAGCCTGTTGTCTGCAGCTCTGCATCAACATCTCACTTTGACTGATTCTGCTCTGCTGATTTAGCGATTAACACATTTTATTTCCTATAGATTCTTCACAATAAAAGCTCCCCATTATTTTGTTATGTTAAAGCTTTTATTGTGAAGCAGCAAAATAAGGAAATGTTGGGTTTTCATCAGCAGTAACTTAACACGACTCATACGTTTCAAAGCGAACATGACACAGTAAAATAAAGCAGATATTTAAAGTAAAAGGTCTGTCTAGCTACTGTGTTTGATTTCACACAGAGCTCAAAAATTCCTCTCAGGAAAGGTAAAGAGTCTTGATAATTGTGTTTTTGTAATTGTTCTTGTTAGATGACGTCTGAGTCCCTGGTGTCCAGACCCTTTGTTGGCAAGCTCTGTCTCGCCCGCTACAAGGGAATGTGGTCCAGAGTGGAGGTAAGAATAGAATCAATGAAATATATTTTTTGGAAAATCTTAAAAGCTTATGATAATTTTGGACATTGAAACTATGGTGATGTCGTATTGTTGATCAGAAGAGTTTGAGGTCATATTTCTTTGACACCCACAGACATGTTGTTGCTCTTGTTTTCAGATAACCACCATGTATGGCAACAGAGTGATTGAGATTCTCTACATTGACTTGGGTGTCTCAGCAACTGTAGAGGTCACTGATCTTCGAGAGATCCCTCCCCTCTTCGTCAAAAGCTTCATCATCATCCCACCACTGGTCAGTTGTTTCTGTGTGTTTGTTGTGAGAGCAGATGCACCATAATCTTAACCAGTCCAGTGACTGCAGGAGCATCTTTTCCTCTGCACATTGATTTGAAGCTCCTGCTACTGTATTTACTGTAAAGGCACAATCAGTTATTTTTTTTAACCCCTTTTTATTTTTTTAAGTCATACTCCTTTTTGATTCCTGGACAAAAGTTGGGCTGTCATCGTGCTTGCAGTGGTGTAAATTCAACCTCAATATTTTAAAAATATTGAGTTTGAAGCAAGTCATTGTTGATAAATTTTCACTGTTTCAGGAGACACAGTGTAAGACTGAGACTAAGGAAGCTTAATTTTTTTGATAAATTGTAAATGTGAATTGCTGTTTTGTTGAACATGTCTGTCATTGGCTTGCACATCAGCCAGCATTGTTTCTAAATATGATAATGTTGTGAATCCGTCTAAAACATAACTGTGCATATTTTTTTTGTGTCTCTTCAGGCTATCAAATGTCGCCTGGCTGATGTAACAGTTCCAGAGGGGGACTGGAGCCCAGAGGCTGTTCTGTGGGTGAAGGAGGCGGTCCTGGGTTCTGAAGACTGCAAAATGAAGGTAACATACTGTAATTCCCCTTTTCAACCAAAATTAGCATGTGGATGAGGGATTTTAAATGCAAGAAAAGGTGTATTTTCTGGCAGCTATCAATGCATCGCACTGGCAAAGGTGCTAAAATTAGAGCAATATGATTTTTGTATTTCCATCACTGCAAATAGGAGCTGGAGCTGATAAATATGCGACTACTGCAGAGTCATTTGACCCGGGAGTGAATACTGATTGTAACCTTTCCCATTACATAAAAAGCCAGATGTTAACAGGTGTTAATGGGTTTAGTCCAAGCATCAGAGTTGGGAAGAAATTTGATCTAAGTGACTTTGACTGTGGAGTAAATGTTGGTGCCCCCACGTTAGACCCTGTTCAATATGGTTGAAATGCCACAGTATTGTGGCAAACCGCGGTACACAATAAATATCTCAATATATATATCTCCTCTAAACTACTGTAGGCTACAGTTAAAGAGTAACTAAACCCTAAAACCATTTTTTCAGCTGATAATCATTGTTTCTGGTTGTATAGTAGTGTTACTGACTGATCCTGCTCAAAATCTTGACAGTTTAGTGCAAACTGTTGAAAATCTACATTTTATTTTAAAAATGTGCTATGGAGTGCCCTCGACAGCTTGAAACCTGGTTACTACATTTGAATTTACATTACATTACATTGGGAGCGAATGACTCTTTTTCGGGGCGAATGACGTCACTAACCGTCCATGCTAAAGCCTGCCCTCCTCCCTTTACTCCTCCCCTTACTATAAAACCATTTTGTCAGCAGTTATCAAACTGATAGCGAGTAGGTAGGATCAGAGCAGAGAGAGTAGTAGAGCAGAGAGAATAGCTAGTAATTTGTCGAATTGTTAGCATAGTGTATTTTGGTGTTCGTTTACAGTTAGTAGTGTGTTTATAGTATTTAGGTTAGCTGGTCAAGGAGAGGCACCGAGGCTCAGGAGTATATGTGCGGGGCGGCGAGGGAGGGATGTGGAGGGCCACTGTGCGGTGAGAGAGAGCCGAGCCTCGGGGGTATATGTGCGGGGCTGCGAGGGAGGGAGGGGTGGGTGGGTGGATGGATGGATGGATGGATGCATGCGGTGGGCTGCTGTGCGGTGAGCCCAGGCTCCCAGAGAGGGAGAAATAGAACTAAGTAGGATAAAATAAGTCAAAGTGTGGAGAAGGGGACCGGCTGAGCTCCGGCCGCCTTCCCTTCTGCCCATGTGACACAGTTAGGGGCGGTTTTCCAAGCCACCATTGGCACAATGAAAATAAGTCGAAGTGTGAAAGAGAGAGACCGGGTAAAGAGGCCGACCTCCGGGGAAGCCCTCTCCTCTCTCCCTGCAGCGAGGGACAATCTTCACTCCGCCCCCTTCCTCAGCACACTCCTCAGCAGAAATACCGAGTTAGCAGGAGAATAAGTTTGCTGAACAATGGCAGAGGAAATGCAGCCAAAAGTACCACTTCCAGCATTACTTGTAACGGCTCGCCCCGCTAAACAGGCTGAGAAAAGAAAGTCGGAGGCAGAAAAGGCTGCAACGAAAAAGGCTTTGGATAAAGCGAGAGGAAAACCAGACATCAACATCGGTGCAGCTTTTGAACGGTGGAGACAACTGAGGGAGCTGAAAGGCCTGAAAAGTGATGCAGAGTTGCTGTCTTTCTGTTGGACAGGTAATTATTTGTTTGCTTCGGGGGGATTTGTTATTTTACTCGGCTCTCCTCTGCCCTGCTGACTCCTACCTACTGCAGGATGCGCGTTCAAGTTTGTGTGGGGCCGTGGCTTTGAATGGAGCACTGACGGGAGGTGGAGGAGGGGGTGGAGCTTAGAGGAGGTGCTGCTTTCAAATCTTGCTAGCTCTCCAACATTACCAACTATAGCTTTAAAGTTAAAGTCCCACTGATTGTCACACACCTGAGTGTGTGAAATTTGTTCTCCGCATTTGACCCATCCCCTGAGGGAGCTGTAAGCAGTAGCAGTGCCGTGCTCGGGAATCGTGGTGATCTAACCCCCCAATTCCAACCCCTGATGCTGAGTGCCAAGCAGGGAGGCAATGGGTCCCATTTTTATAGTCTTTGGTATGACCCGGATCGAACCCACAACGGACGGCGGACACTCTACCGCTAGGCCACTGAGCTGTGTTATGATAAAGTTAAATAAAAAGTTAAACTAGGTATTGTTGTAATTGAGTAGATTAAAGCCGACCCACTAGTGCTTTTATTTTGAAGCACCCGCCTCATCTCAGGCAGGAAGTGTTGATGTATTTGCTATGAACTGGAAGCTTCTGGTCAATGTGAGAGAGTTAAACTGTTGCTGCTGCACTGTTAAATGCAAGGATTTATTAACTGTGGGCTGGAAACAAACTAACAGCTCTCCAGGTCACATATTAATAGTATTTGTAAGTCGCACTGGTGCTCCATGGTCTCATAGTGACTAGATAGTCATGGTCTAGAGCCCTGCAGAAATGACACAGGCTTCGCTGTCTCACACACTATCACTCAGGATAAAGTTTTCTGGCTTGGCAGAGGAGTGTGTATGACATACCACGTTTTTTAGTCTTTCTTTGTGTGTGTCTGTGAGAGGGAGAGAGCCACAGGAGGGAGCAAGAGAACCAAAGTGACTCTCATGCTGGTGGCTTAAAAAAGAGACGTGATAGTTTATACTCAGTGTTTACGAGATAGTTATATTATACAGTCCCTGACAAAAGTCTTGTCGCTTATCCTAGTTGTAGGAACAACAAATAATAACCTGACTTGTAGTTGATCAATTGGGATCAGAAATAGCTTATATGAAAGGCAAAGGCCTTTAGATTATGCTTATTATACCAAAATAAAGTTGTGTATCATTCATTGAGTTTTATCATTTAATTAGGACAGAAAGGTCAGATCTTGCTTGGACAAAAGTCTTGTCGTGTCTTTAAACGATTCAACCAATCACAGATTAGAGCTCCACCTGTGACAAATACTGTAATTAACACATTCCCAGGTGTGTATAAAAAGAACCCCAGCACACCAGACCTTCATGTGAAGTGCAACCTGACCGCTGACAACATGCCAAAGATTCAACCACAGACCAAAGTGCTGATCATCAAGAGCCTGAAGACCAAGTCTGCTGCTGAGGTGGCAGACATCTTCAGTGTATCCAAACGTCAAGTGGAGAGGATAAAAAAAAGATTTGAAGAAACTGGTGACATTCATGACAAGCCCAGGTCAGGCAGACCCCGTAACACAACTGTTAGAGAGGACCGTTTGTTGCTTTGGCAGTCCAGGGCCAGCCCTTTTTCAACTGCAGCAGAGCTACATCAGAACTGATCACCAGAAACCCCTCACGCAATGGTCTCCATGGCCGAATTACTGCTCACAAACCAGCATTAAACAGAAGACAACAAAAGAATTGTGCTGCATTTGCCAAGGCCCACAGCTTGCAGAAAGGATGGACAGTGGAAAAGTGGCAGAAGGTTGATTTTTCTGATGAATCATCCATTGAACTGCATCCCAATCGCCGCAAATACTGCAGAAGACCTGTTGGAACCCGCATGGACCCAAGATTCACCCAGAAAACAGTCAAGTTTGGTGGAGGAAAAATCATGGTTTGGGGTTACATCCAGTATGGGGGTGTGCGAGAGACCTGCAGAGTGGATGGCAACATCAACAGCCTGAAGTATCAAGAGGTTCTCGCTGCCCATTACATTCCAAACCACAAGAGAGGGCAAATTCTTCAGCAGGATGGTGCTCCTTCTCATACTTCAGCCTCCACATCAAAGTTCCTGAAAGTGAAGAAGGTCAAGGTGCTCCAGGATTGGCCAGCCCAATCACCAGACATGAACATTATTGAGCATGTCTGGGGTAAGATGAAGGAGGAGGCTTGGAAGATGAAACCAAAGAATCTTGATGAACTCTGGGAGTCCTGCAAGACTGCTTTCTTTGCCATTCCAGATGACTTCATCAAGTTATTTGAGTCATTGCCGAGATGTATGGATGCAGTCCTCCAAGCTCATGGGAGTCATACACGATATTAATTCTTTTTCCCAAGGCACCATGACTTTATGTTCTGATGTTATTGGAGCATGTTTGTGTATTCAAAAAAAAGTATCATTTCTACAGTACATTATTTTTATATGCGACAAGACTTTTGTCCAAGCAAGATCTGACCTTTCTGTCCTAATTAAATGATAAAATTCAGTGAATGATGCACAACTTTATTTTGGTATAATAAGCATAATCTAAAGGCATTTGACTTTCATATAAGCCATTTCTGATTCAAAATGATCAACTACAAGTCAAGTTATTATTTATTGTTCCTACAACTTGGATAAGCGACAAGACTTTTGTCAGGGACTGTACATCCAAGGAGGAACAAGCTGCAATACATAGAGTATATTCTGTGTATCTCCAACCCCAATTATATAGGCTTGACTGCTTGAAGCAAAACAGTGTTGATCTAGCTTCAGATATGCCAAATATAAACACTGCAAATCAAGCTTACCAGGAAGGCCCTATGAGAAAACAGTCCCAAACAACAACGGTTACTTCACTGTCTCTGTATCTTTATATGTGTTTGTCTTCTCCCTTTGTTCCCTCATTTCAGATCTTGAAATTAGACCAGCACAAAGGGGACCGGCTGGTCTATATGTACCTCTTCATCGGTGCTGACGGTCAGGAGCTGGACAAGAGCATCAACCACCAGCTGGCCCAGTCAGAGCTGTGGCGGAAGCTCACAACACAGAACAACAACACAATCACCAGCTACAACAGCAGTGTGGATACAGGTAATAATATTTTACATCAGACACATAGTCTATTCTAGGTCTGGGATGACCCCTGTATACAGTCAGCATTTGTATACATGAGCTTGTGAAACTTTTTGAAAGAGTCCTCCCAACTGTTCACCATGTGAAGTCAAGGTATCAGGACGGTCAAACATCTTTTGTTATTGTTGGATTTATATGTAAGCACAATGACTTTGAAATAAATCTGGACTGTGACATTAAAGTGCTGACTCAGCTTTAATTTAAAATGCTTTGCATGTACCTCTGTTTTTACAAATGTCTAGGTCTCAGTGCTCTGGTGGAGAAGTTGACTCTGAGCAGCCCTGTCCCACAAGCTATTGTCACGGCCTCAGCCCAACCTCTTCCTGGAGCAGAGAACACTCTCTCTGCAGATACAGCCACCAAAGCTGAGATGCAGCCACTTCCACTGCCTCCCCCGCTGGAGCTCCCCCAGGTATGTGGAGATGAACACACTGTCTGTATTGGCTCACCTGTCATGGGGGATAGATGTAAAATATGTGCATCATGGCTTGTCTTCAGGCGACAGTCAGTCATCTTTATCATTTTATGATTCATCATTTCTTAATAGATTTATATTCAAGAACAAGATAACTTCAAGGTATACCTTGTGGGATTTTCCTAATAAAGGATGCGACTGAGTGAAAACTAACAGAAAATTAGGACATACACACAGTACAAGTACAGTAGTACAGTACAGACGTTCCTGGGCATATTGCCCTCAGGCAGTAATTAAAAACAAAACAAAACACCGAAATAAAAAATTAAATGCGAAAATAGTAAGGAAAAAGACAAAGTGGATAAAGCTTTTTCAAAATGAGTCTGGGGTTGCCTTCCACCTCTGCTGCTTCAGGAAGGACAGGATGAAGAGCGACGCAGAGTTGGTCTTTTTCTGTTGGACAGGCAGATGTCAGCGTTTAGCTTAGTTAGCTTGCTTAACATTTGTATTACAACAAATATAATGTTCCTACAATAGTAACTTGCAGTGTACATATGTGCTGTCTGTTTCAAAGTTATGTTTGCAAACAGTAAGCAACAGTAAGTGTCTCATGGATGATGTTTTACTCTAAGCCGACGCAGAAGTTGGTGTTGCATTGTTTCCCTCGTCAAAAAGCCTATTGGGTTATCCTGTTGGATTTTTGATTATTGCTATAAATAAGCTCTGTCGCAAACAAACAATTTTGATACTTACACGTTGTGTTCAGCAAGATAATTTCCACAAATGAACACCACTTTCATTATTATTAAAGCCTAAATGCAACTGCCTGAAGCAAAAAGCTAACGTTGGGCTATAAATGAACTTCACTATGGTTGCATGACCCAACGTCACCATCATAACAAGACTAAAGCTGTGTTGGCAGCGGCTCTGTGTGGTGATATTCTGTAGTCTCATTTAGCCACTTGTTAGCAACCACCTTTATTAAGATGTATAGAAGTTTCAGAGTTCATGAGTAGAACAAAACGTGAAGGTCTGCAAAGCTTGTGTTAACCACAGACTTTATTTCAGCCATCAACCAAAAACCCATTAAAGCCACTGACTTTGAGACAAGGGAATCACGAGTGGTAAAATGCTAAGTAATTTCCGTGTTTTAGGACATATTCCTGGGGCACCCTAATGGATCAAATCTAAAACAAAGCTCACTGTCAAAACTACCAATTAATTTTCGTACTAGTGAGCTGTAAGTTATTTCAGTTGCTGCTGTGTCGTGTAAAAGTAATGTAAAGTTTAACAATTTGTGGTTACAGCCTCAATATAGTTTATTCTGGAAACCTCATTATGTGAACTTCAGAATGTGAATATTAAACAAAACCTGTGGTAATATACACTTATTCTTTTCCCTGTCTTCTTTCAGCCTGGTCAGAATATGGATGTGTTTGTGCCAGTGGCCTGCCACCCTGGTTACTTTGTGATGCAGCTATGGCAGGACCTGTATAAACTGGTGGTGCTGATGGGGGAGATGATCCTCTATTACAACAAGATATGGAAGACCAACTCAGCCCCGCCCATTCAGACAGGAGAGATCTATGCTGCCAAAATAGACAAGAAGTAGGTGAAAAATGTGTTTGCACCTGATTCAAACGTGACATTAGGCTTGGGCGGTATCACAGTATTAAGTTATAACAGGGTATATAGAAATACTGATGCTATGATTTTCAATACTGTCAAAAATACAGAGGTAAAAACAAGATCTTGCTATTGTCTGATGATTGGTGGTTAACTGATGCCTGCCTCTATCCAGCTGGCACCGTGTGCAGGTCAAGGGGATTCTGACCAACGGGCTGGTTTCTGTCTTCGAGTTGGACCACGGCAAACATGAGCTGATCCGCAGTGCTTTCCTCCGACCCTTGATAGAGGAATTCAGACAACTGCCCTTCCAGGCCATCACTGCACAACTGGCAGGTGAGTTAGATCATAATTCTATCAGTGGCTTTATTGGTCATCATGCAGTGAAGCTGTTTTATTTTATATGTAACAGGTAGGGCTGTACCCAAATATTCAGGTATTTGAATATTCGTTTCTATGGGTAGGTATTCGTTATGAAAATTTGGTATTCGATATTTGTTTTGTTATTTATTTATTTTTTTATTATTTATTTATTTTTTTTTTTACATATTTTTTTGGTGCTAAATGTAGTCTTTTTGTTGTTGGTAAATGTAGGTTATCAATAAAAATCAAAACTTTTAAATTGCATTGTTAAAAATGTGAAAATATAGTATCGCCTACCAACGGAGCTTGTGCGCACGGCACGCTTGAGCGCATCCGTCTGAGGCTGTGGATCAATGCCAAGTTTTACCACTTCATCACTCTTCCCTCTAACTTGTAGCTGTTTTTTCGTTATCTATTGATATGAATTATAGAACCGTTTTGTACAATAAATTATTGTTTAAAGTTTCAACAAGTTTCTTTTGGAGTGCGTGACACAAGTGTGTTTTGAAAACGACCACGGACTGTCACCTGCTCAACGTATCAGTACCTTTGGATGCCATGACAGTAATAGCCAATAATGTCAAAATATCATTTACAGACCGATTTAACAGATGATCACTGCTGCCCAACCCGCAGGTCCATTTGCGGGTCCCGCGGGTTACGGGTCGACCTGCGCATCACTACTCAGCTCAGTCTTTAAATGCTGTACACAACAGTAGACATTATATTCTGTTCAGGCCGGCAGAACCAGTAGCGCATCAGCTCTACAGTGCACGGCACTGCTGATTAACCATTTTATTGCAGCACAGAGTGTCTGCCAGCAACCAGTTAATTGCAGAGGCTTCCTACAACTTGTTTCAGCGGTTCCTATTTAATCAGAAGACAAATTAAACAGGATGACTAGCCAATGTGAAAATCAAAAGAAAGCATAGAATAATGTACTGAAGGAGACTGTTGTGCCATCACATTTTTTTGTGGTTTGTGAGCAAAGATCCGGTTGCTGCTGTGCAAAACTCCGTAATACAATTAGGTCCGAAAAAACCCTGGAGGAGTGCTTCGCAAGGAGTCTTTGAAAGGAGCCAAGTCTGGCATAAAACCGGAGAGAGCAGGCAGCACGGCCACAGCACCCCCACCCACCCACCCACCTGCCCGCCCGCCGTGAACGAATATTCGAATATTCGTTATAAATTCTGCCGAAGGTCCAAATGTTAAAAAATGGTATTCATGACAGCCCTAGTAACAGGTAGTGTAATAAAGTCCTGTTTGAAATTTAGCTAATAAAATTTAAGTAGTTAAGTAGCTAGTTGTAACAACACATCGCTGTAAAGTTGATGAGGCCTGCAACTAACAGTTCTTTTCATTATGAGTTAATCAGCTGATTGACTACATGAATCACTTCCCACCTTGATAACACAAGGTCGAGCACTTCAGGTTATCATTGTGATTACTAATATCCTGTATGTTCGGCAGGTATTTCACAGCACCAGTGGTCAGAGGAGGCCTCCATGTTATTTAGGAACCATGTTGAGGAGCGAGCCCTGGTAGCCCAGGTGGAGAGTGTGCCGGAGGTGTCGGACGTTAAAGGTAAGCTGTGGGAACGCAAGCTGACAGTTTACCTGGTGGACACTACAATGGAGGACAGGGATCTGTGGATTCATACCATCATGGCCGATATCGACAGTGAACTTTCTTCAGCAGCCTAAAAAGTCTTCTCTGGAACTGAAAGTTTGACAATAGCTCTTTTCCTGGATCTTTTCATTTTCTTAAAGTGGTGAAAGTGCTCAGTGAACTTTGAAAGCCGAGTCACGATCTGTGCCTTCGGTATATTTTCAGTGTTCTGGATCTTTCTCCCAGTCAGACTTTAAAGAAGCACTTTTTAATTTTCAAGGGCCTTGTCATATTGAGACAGAAGATGTTTTGTTCAAGAGTTATTTTTTTCTGAATGTACAGATTATAAAAAATGTTCAATGTGTTTCAGAAGCACTATGGAGTGCAGTTGTACTCAGATTAATGAGGAAAAAGATGGAAACATTCCACGCCATCAGATGTTAGTGTTGCCAGTCTGATAAGTAAATCCACCTCAGTTTAATTCATCAAACTTTTTATTTGTCCAAGTTAAGTCACCTGCATGTTGCATGTTTTTTGTGTTATTTATTACTCTGTTTCCCCATCTAACCTGTTTTTGTTTGCTGTGCCTTTATGCATGCAGTTGTATGGCTCATTTTGCACTTAATTTTGTGTCTTTACACATGTTTTTACATTAATCCAACTTAAATGACTTAACAGCATTAATCTAACTCTTGTTAAATTTTGTTAACTGGCTGAAAAGATTGTTTCAACATGAAAAGCTGTTCACACTGATGTGTTCTATTAAAATGTGTAGCCAAATGAGGGTGTACTTTAAATGTTTGTTTTTTCTTAGTGTGCAGAGATCGGCAAGTATTCTGACAGCGTGAGCTGCTATCTTACAGTGAACTGCCAGTGAAAAAAAAAAAGAGTTATAAAGAATCATTCTGTCAAAATAGTCGACCGATTGTTAATTCTGTCTGGTGGGTAAAAAAGCACAAAGTGGCTTTAAAGTGCCAGAGCTCTTTCTGTCACCTTGGAATTAATGAGTCAGTATGACCAGCCAGTGGTAAACATGTTTTAAATTGTTCTCTGTCAGATGAGACGACCAACAGTTAAAATGTCCTCAAAATTAAGGCAGTTCATTTTAGGTTTTCCTGACCTTTACATGACACGCACCCAGCAGAATGAGCTATCCTCATGTGACACTGTGAACCTTCTTTTTAAGTACATTTTAATTTAATTTTGATAGCCGTTTCCCACCTGACAGGATAACAAAGGCTACCTCACTTCAAACATTCTATTTCACTGGTCTCTCATCTTGAGAGAGCGGCTAAAATGGTGAAAAAGCCTAATTGTGTAATCTGAGTAGAGTATATCCATTACTAACCTGGACACATACAGATATGTTTGCTGCTTAAATTTGTCTCCTCGTCCAATTTGTGACGAAGATGGAGATTGGGGCTGCAGCATGAACATGGTTCAGGGCTTAAGAACAGATATGGTTTGGTGTCACACAGCTATGGCACAGTGACCAGTGGTGGAAAGTAACTAGATTGACTTCAGCACTGTTTGACGTGCTTGTGTATTTCCGTTTCCATTGTAAGTATTTCCATTTCAGATTTCCATTTTTAGATTATTTTCCTCTTCTACTGCACTACATTTTCCCATACATTTACTTGACAGATTGAGTTACTGGTTACTTTTAATATTAAAAATTTCCCCTTAAAAAAATACAGTTTTGGCTCGTGATCCCTTACATAAAAGTAGCATCTACTGAGGGTACCTTGACATGTTTTTGATGTCTGAGTTAACAGTTCTGCCATATTACTGTCCCCTCGAAGCTTCTCAGATGGTGGCATTTAATTAACAAACAGAATTTTGAGAAAGGTCCAAAACCAGTTAAGTTTGTATAACAGGAGTGTGTTTTTGGTTCTTTCCTCCTCATTAGTCATCTCATGACCCTCTAGATATATCTTGTGACCCATCCCATGGGCCCATTACCCAGGCTGGGAATCACTGCTGGGAAACTACCTCAGAAGCTGACCAGTAACAACATGGACTTCAGGATACATCATAACTTAAGTATAGATAAACTACAAAAACCCTCCAGGGCAAACATACAGTACACTTTAGAAAGAGCAGAGCAAGCGGAGGCTGACGGAGCAGGTTCTTGAGGTATCTCACTGAAATGCTGAAGTGCTCATGTCAAAGAAATCTGTTTTAGGCTGCTAGCAGAATCTCTATAGGGATGGCATTGTTGATCGGCTAGGTGCAGAGGTGGAAGAAGTCAGACCTTTTACTAAATTAAAAGTAGCAGTATCGCAGTGTGAAAATGCTCTGTTTTAAGCCCTGCCATCAAAACATACTTAAAAAACGTACAAAAGTATACTTAAAGGTCCAGTGTGTAGGATTTAAGGGTGTCTATTGGCTGTTTTTATTAGTTAGTAATAACTTGAACATAAGAATCATGTTTTCATTACCTTAGAATCAGCTCTTTGTGTCTACAAATAGAGTGGGTTCTTCTTCACTGAGTCCGCCATGTTCTATACAGTGGCCCAGAATGGACAAATCAAACATAAGCCCTTTTAAAACGAATTATAAAATTTGCAGGAAAGCCCAATCAGTCTTTTTTCAGCATTGGCAGTATAAAAAAAATCAGGGAGTGCGGCAAAGTGCCTCCTACCTACTTTTGTTTATAAAGAATGTGCCTTTTTCGGGGCAATGGGGGCGTGAGCAAGTGACAAAACGTGTAGCTCAGCATGTGACGTAAACAGTGACGTGGGAGGGAAGCCGCGGCTAGTCAGTCCTTCGGCGATTCTCTCGTAAGTTGGCCCGTTCTTCACCGTCCCCGTTAGTTGACGATTAATGGCCTCTTCGTTTGTGAGGACAAGGAGGGCATGAAATTCCTTGACTCCCCAGTTGCTCATCTTTAGAGTGTCTGTCAGGTTTGCGTTTCCCTCTTGCTACTAGCTCCTCGCTAATTCCTGCTATCAGCTGTTTCCTTTTTATCCACTGCCAGTGGGTCACACGTGCGGCGTCATCAGCAGCTCCTCCCACAAGTCTTCAACAGCCCCTCCTGTTGTGGAAGGCCGCCTCGGTCTGTTAAAACTAAAAGGGATCCGCCAATATGCCTACCCTACAGGGCGGAAAATTGGGCATCTTGGATCAACTCGCCCATCTGGCTCTGTGTGTCTAAACGCTCGCAGCTTGCCGGCAAAATGGCCCAACATTTGTGGAAAATCTGGCAATGTAAAAGGGGTTATGGACTCTAGATAGGGCCATTTGCGTGTGCACGTCAGCCACCGTAGTTCTACTCACTTTGCAAACAGGAGTTCCAGTTCTGCAACCTGATTCCTAGATGCCACTAAATCCTACACACCAGACCAGGGATCCTCAACTTGGTTTGCCCGTGAGCCACTTAATGCAAAATGACAGTAGATAAATAAATAAATTCCTGTTTTCAGCCGTTCAGTGTTTGCTGTTATAACTCATCTTTGCCAAGAGACAAATCCAGTCACAGCAGCCCGGAACAGGTAAGGTGTACGCAGTGGCGTTTCAAGGATTTGAGACCATTCAGGGCTCAGCCCGGGCCTCTGTCGGGGTAAGACCACAACGGGTGCCACTCCTGTCAGCTAACAACAGGAAACTGAGGCTACAATTCACACAGGCTCACCAAAATTGGACAATAGAAGACTGGAAAAATGTTGCCTGGTCTGATGAGTCTGGATTTCTGCTGCAACATTCAGATGGTAGGGTCAGAATTTGCCGTAAACAACATGACAGCATGGATCCATCCTGCCTTGTATCAACAGTTCAGGCTGGTGGTGGTGGTGTAATGGTGTGGGGGATATTTTCTTGGCACACTTTGGGCCCCTTAGTACCAACTGAGCATCATTTAAACACCACAGCCTACCTGAGTATTGTTGCTGACCGTGTCCATCCCTTTATGACCACAGTGTACCCATCCTCTGATGGCTACTTCCAGCAGGATAACGCACCATGACACAAAGCTTACATCATCTCAAACTGGTTTCTTGAAAATGACAATGAGTTCACTGTACTCCAATGGCCTCCACAGTCACCAGATCTCAATCCAATAGAACACCTTTGGGATGAGATGATGATGAATGGGATCATGGATGTGCAGCAGACGAATGACTTGAGTCCAGGTGTACCATCACCCCTTTGCCCTGGCTTTATTTTGCATTTCTTTTATTTATGGTGTGTTTCACCAGATCTGTCAGTCTAACCACTTTTACAGTAAAATATTTTTACACAAGAATCCATTTCATGTTTGGCCTAAGAGAAAACGAGACACATTGCTGTACTTCATTCTGTCTCTGTTAGGGGAATCAAGCTGAAGCACTTTTAGGGGTCTTCCTCTAGCCTACATGTAATATTACAGTATTTTTACATTATGTGAGTACCTCCACCACTGCGTCACCACATCCTGTCGGTGTGTCACCAAACAAACTGCTGCTCTAACAAGCTCCGGTGCGTCAAACTTAAGTAGGCTTATTAAGTGTTTTAACTGGAAAATAGGGAATGTGTCCGATAATGGGCGCAGACCACTTCATGACATCACTGGAGTGACAGGGCAGCCGTGTTGGGGGGGAGGAGGAGGGGGAGGAGGAGGGGGAGGAGGGAGGAGGATCTCTCCCCATAAGTTTACTTTGCCCTTTGCGGGAGATGAGATTCAGCCTCCGCTAACCTGCCGAGAGACGACCAGGGCCGGGGGAGGAAACTTTTGCGAGCACGCTGTCAAATCTGCTGAATTCAGGATTATCTGCGGGTCATGGACGCTTCAGTGTAGTTGGATTTTTTGTGTGCGGATTCCCGGCTTGTGCGGCTGCAAGCAGAGCGGACCGCTCCGTGCGACTCCAGGCGGCTCTGAAGGAAACCATATCTGGTCAAAGTATTCGTTGCTGTCACACAGCGGGACTGTCCGGCTATAAATAGCGCTGGAGGAGGTACGGAAATAAATGCAAAAATTGTACTGCACACTGTTTAACAGGCAAATTAGTGAAGATCACACATCAAGGTTAGAAAATGTTTAGGGCAACACGTTTATACAACCTCCATGAGGTCACTGGGAATAAAGAGGGCTTCTTTAGTAACACAGAAATATATTTTTAATTCATCGTTAGTGTTTTCCATTCTGTTGGAGGATGTCTTATTGGCTATTGTAGGCTTCACTCTGCAGGTCCCAACACTAAAACTGCTGCACAGAAAGAGACACAGCCTTTGCATTTGCAGCAGCTTGGGGGTCCTTGATGCAAGAAATATCTAAAAATGTCTATTGTGACTAATTAGATTATGTATAATAACTGTTTTACACAGGGTTCACCTTACCTTATAAACTTTCAGGCAAACTTTAGTCAGATATAAAAGCACAAAAAGTAGAAAGGCTTGATGTAAGCTGGGGTCATGATCTTAAATGTCAGCTTGATATGATAAAAAAATCAATAACGAGTAAATGGAGCCTTGTGTACTTTGGTGGGTTATGATTTTCCTCTTTAGTTCAGCATGGCCGTGCATACTGTGTTGGTCAACCTGGGGCAAATAGCATCTGGTCACCTTTCTATGTGCTGTTTCTCACTCTTTGCTATGAACTCGTTTTTGCATCGTGTTTCACCATCTAAAACATGCATACACACATTCAGAAGTCTGTTCTTCATCTCTTGGATTAGTAATGTATCATATCAGCAGCTAGCTTGAGGCGACACTGATTAGTGAAGTGACACACACAGATGACTTTTTGACCTCTGCAGAATGCACAAATGGTCAGACCTCAGGTCCAAGGCAGTAAGCGAGCTGCT